TGAATTTTAGAGTTCCCCTTACACTGATTCCTTCTCATCCTTCCCCCTTCCCCTTCTACTGGTGTCACTCTTACATCTTCTACCTCTTCTTCACGCATATTCAGGGAGCATTTTTCTTTCTGTAAATGAAAGAGAACCAATTCATATATAAGGGGGAAATTACCTTCTTGTGACAGCACATTTGATGTTCTTTCCCTAAAGTGTGATTATTAGACACTTCATTCTTTACTAATGCATTAAGGTATGTTTTGATTGCCTTGTACATTCAAAAGGAATACTGTTTTCCACAAATTTGCAAATACAATTACGTATGTAATAAATAATGTACATATATTACATGACTGGAAATAAATAAGTATGGAAATATTAAGAATTGAATGTATGAAATAAAAACTATGAATGTATGTAAACCATCATATGGTTATAGTATAAATTAGTATTGCATTAATACTGTCATTCAATCTAGTTTAATTGTATTCACCTTTGGTGGCGGTCCATCACCAGTCTTATGTTATTGATTTAACAAATATGTTCAGCAGTCAACTAACTTCCATATTAGCCATAGAAACCTACGGAAATCAGTGAAAATGATATTTCGCAAATGAACACTGCTCATTGCTAAGCTAAGGACCGCTAAAGAGTAAAAATTCCATGTAAGCGTTCAAGTGACACTCGTTCAACATAAGCTAATTTTTTGAGAGTATGCATTTTAATACCGATTCGCGCATGGATCTAAAAACGCATTATTAGAGCCCAAATGTATTAAAAACTATTTGTGAACATTTTGAAGCAATAATTTTGTTAAATAACTTTCTACACGTAATGAAATTTATCCTAGAGTGAAATAATATTCTGATATTGCTTGTGTTGTATAGCAGGAAATGTTTACATATGGCACATCGTACGAGACATACACTTTAGTAGCATATAACGTATTAAACATACTTATTCTCGTACTTACATAAAGCAAAGAGTTTATATAAGGGATAATTTAGTAAGAAAATAAACATCAAATAGTAATAAGTAGTGGAGAATATAAACATAATACAATTCTCGATGATGTGATAGAAAAAATCTGGCATACATTTTCGTCTGAAGCAACTATTCACAGCCTCGCGCAGCATCAGCTTGCGCGTGTACACCCCTTTCTTGATTTTAAGTGGCAATAAGTGCGGAGTGAGGGGAAGTTGTCAGTATCAAAAAATTAAATTCAAAATCAGAAAGCACACATTCAAATCTACAAGCCTCATGATATGTCTTCATCCCACTGTTCTGGGTCGTCGAAAATAGTGGAAAACAAATTTACTAAATCATATTTGTGCTCCAGGATTGTGCGAATCATAATTCCGTCTTGTAGGACACGCTTTGGGAAATCTCACTTCTGAATCAAGTGCTTCCATACTTCGTGTGGAATTAGAGAAAAAAAACAAGGAAAAGTTTCCAAGAGTCATGAAAACATTTGTACACGCTTTGACACATGACACTGGCTGAAAGATCATTAAATTACGTCCATGTGCCAGGCTGTGCGCAAATACTGCAGCCCCATCGTAACACTGTGCAACTTTTTTGGAATTACACTCAAATTTATTGAGAGTGTGAAAAACATGTTTTGCTAAACCATTGACAGTGTGGTTTGAGCTGACGTCAGAAAACCCTAGGAAACGTTCAACGATTTCTCCATTGGAAAGTAAACATCGTACAACATCAATTGAGAATGAGGATGATTATCACTAGTCTTGTATAGAATTACAAGAACGAATTGTTAAAGTGAAATTTCATTTCTTATTTCATTTAACATAACAATAGCTATGCTTTCTAGCAAATCATTGTAAATATGTTTTGACAACCCTGTAAAAACGGTGGGTTTCTGTAAATGATTTTCTAGAGTTTCATCATGCTTTGTCAACAGAGTATCGATCGCGGCGGCGATGATGTAACAGTAGCGTATCGATACACAAGTTTGCGGGTTCAAACCCGATCGAAGCCGTGGACTTTTAAGGGCGAGAAAATCCTTCGTACGCCTTCCTTCGGAGGGTTTAGTAGATTTACTGCACGTAAAAGATCCTCAAGCCGAAATGACGCCTCTGAGATAAATTCAAATCGCTTGTTTCACCGCCCAAGAAATACCTCCTTTCTCCGCTAGGGTGAAAGGAGGGTACCGAAATTTGCGTGGTCAGACGAAATAGCGGACCTGGTGGCCTGAGTTTCACCACGCAAAATAAGGCATCAATTCAATTCCCTCTGTTAAGAGACTCGTGTTCCTGACAAGCCTCATTAGACACCTCACAACTTTCCCATTATTTTTGACTTGCTCATTGTATTTAAGAGTTTCTTGCTTAAGTTGTTGGTCTAACTGGAAATCAATTCGGGCGGTACCAATTGTTTCGAGCACTAATTTTTCTCAGCTGGAAGAAACATTGTAAGGGCGGGGAGACTGCACATTTTTGCTATTCCATCTACATTCCTGGCTCTTACTTTAGCAACGCCACTAAGATTGTCTAGCCACCTTTGGACGAGGGGTGAGAGTAACGCTTACTTTCGAACTTCGCTGGCCAGTTCTCAACGTTCATCAGTCTGTGGTGATGTTTAGCTATTCGCTGTGATATTGTTATTGAAAGGAAGTCAGTTGTTTGTCTGATACGAGATGGGATGTCCTCTGCGTCAGACGCTGGAAGCCGCGCTCACTCTCATCCTAAGGGGGTAACCGAGTTACCTCGAGGAAAACTCAAAATAGTATTAATAGTTTGACCATAAAAGCCATATTGTTATTTCTAAAAATAGTTAATGGATGTTGGTTACTTAATGAAGCTCCTAGTTTGTCACAGTTTTCGAACTTGAGGTGAAAACCCACTCCAATTTCTCTTTAATATTCAACCTTAATGAAGTGATCAATAAATAGAGATATTGTCAGGTATCAATATTGTCAGGTTGATACCTGACAATATCTCTATTTATTGATAAAAATAAAAAAGGTATCTACTTCACCAACAATCCAATTAATGAAGTGAATTTCCATGACATACTCTAACATAAATTAATTTCATTTTAATTATGGTGCCTCTTATTATGTATAATAGAGCAGTGCATTGTTATTTATGTATTGTATTCAACTTAGTAACTTACCTAAGTAGTAACTGTAATTGCGTGTCCCTTAATCCTGAGGAGGGAACAAAGTTCGGAAACATTGGCCAACTAGATTAAGCGACAAACACATTCCTACAATTATGAAAAGTATGGTGGTGAATTTAATAATTAATATTGATATTATTCATCAGATTAGACATAATTTGAGTCATTCATACATTTTTGGAGATTTTAATTATATAGATTCTAAAGTATAACACTCACAAATCCCGTCTCTTCACATAACCTTAAATCACACAAAACATTGTTCCAAGAGAATTAAGAAGGTATAAATACTAGCCGTAATAAATCCACAAGTTTTTTACTAATACTTTGATTCAGGTTATTAACTAAGAAGAAACTATACAATGTATGGAAATGGTAAACTAATTAAAAAACAATAAAATAATGATAAAAATGTGTGTTTGGGTAGGCCTAACTGAATTATACGTGTTGGTAGTTGAAAGGTTAAAGTAGGGGCATAAATAGAATATATTTGCCCTCGCACAAGGCGAGACGGGAGAGCAGCAACGATGAAAAGCGATTTTTTTGGAACAAAATTCTGCAACTCGTGTTTTGTAAAATAAACAGCACAGTGACGTTGAACATTTATTCAGCATTTAATCCTAATTTGAATTTTAGCAAAGTGAATCACTCTGAATGAAAAGTAGGGGAACACTTAATAATGGAAACTGATTGTGTGGATTAACTTGCAGATTAAACGTTCTTTTACTGTTTTGATACGCGTATGGGTTATTTCCTGTTGGACAATGACTAAAAATAGTAGAAAGAAAGTGTATTGCTCGAGTCTTATTTGTTTATCCTAACGAAAGGAAAATATCGGATACCCCAAGGACAAAACCAGGTCCATTAACGAAACTCCTACAGGACTACTAAAAATGTGTTATGGAAAAGGAGTAAAGTAAAGAAATAAAAAAATATAATAACAAAAGCTTATAATAAGTAGGAATCGCAAATACATTGAGAATAACATCATTGTGCTTCACAAATTATACAATACCTTTGAATTGATTGTTCAGGTAATGATTATATTATGTGAATGTAGGAACTCTACAAAAGATTAAAAACTTACTGTATCATTATTTTACAATCCACAATTCAACATTATTGCCCTTAATTAAAAGAGAACCTTACACAAAATGAAATTTACACGTGAACTAAATGATGGAAATATATTGTTATTTCTTTAACACGCATTTTAAGAGTTCATTCTCTAAGTGAGTACGCACATCCTGGACTTTACGGTGTGTTTCGAGTTAGCTCACCTACCGCGGAGAAAATAACTAAAGAGCAAACAGCAACTCTGACCTGAGAAGAGATAACTAATTCTCTGAATGAACCATGGATATCTAAATAATTCATGGAACACACCTCTCACAGTTCTCTGGAGTCCTTGCAAAGCCTGCGCTGCCGACTTCTTAAAATATTGTGAGATCAATTTCATCTAGAAGCAAAGAACCAGAAAGTTGAAAAATCGGACAAAAACTATATTTCCTTAAAAATCTAACGAAAAATTTGAAAAAAAATCTCTCGCATCTGAGACTCAGTTAAGGGAATGATATTATCAAAGTACATAGAACTTAAATATTTTCTTTGTATTTTAAGATGTATTTTCGTTCAAAAATTCGTCACGTACGTAAATCAACGTTACTTTGTTCAAGTGCAACGTTGAACATTTTAGTAAAGTAATTGCAATCGAGACTGTCTAAGACCTCCTGCGCAGTGCGAAGGCGACTTCCTCGTCAGCCCTAAACTCCAAAGCACAACCTTAGCAGGTGTCAATGTTCTTCCTCTTTGAGCAATGAATGAGACGCGGGGCCTCTTGAATGCTGTCTGACAAATGCGGACGAGCGACCTTAGGAGACAGGGCGCGCCCGTCGCCGCGTGCCGCCGCCGCCGCCGCCACCACCACCGCCACCGCCACCGCCACCGCCAACGATGCCGCCCCCGCCGCCTCCGCAGCCGAACCACACGTCCGCCGTGGAGTGTGGATATGGGGGGTCTTCCACTGCAAGCTGCAACACCAGATGTCACTTGTCATGCGACTTCCATGACGATGTTTTCAAAACAATGTGTTGAAAAATCTATGTTTTCCGGCCTCCCCTTCGCACATACTTTCATAGCGAACTGCGAAAGCTTTGACTCCTTCATATATCCCAAAATGTTCAGTCTCTCAGAGCTAGTTTTGTTAATTCATATTATTTTCTTAGATTTTTTGTATAAATTCTAATTATACATTAATAAATAAAATCACTATCAAAATTAAAATCTCCCAAACGCAAACGTTGATGTTTCAGTGTACTAAACCACTTTCAAAACTAACGATGTTTAAAATCATTCAATGGTTTTTGAGCGAATCGAAGTTAATAACGTCGATTTTTTCAATTTTGAACATCGATATTTCAAAACATCGATGTTTTGTCGTCGATTTCGCATCCCTACATCGCAACACTCATACACTTCCTTCGGCGGCCACTACGGCTCCTCCCCCCAGCGAACGTCGGCAAGCGAAAATGGTTGGCCAAAACGAACGCCAGCGGCACCTGCCGTCCCATCCGACCCACTGCTCACACCAGTCCCTCCTAGCCCCACATCGCTCCGATTACTCGGTTGAAGTTTTCCGTCTCTCATGCTATTGACACGATTTCCATCTTCGTGACACGTTCCCCGCGGCCGGGATGCGATCAAACGAGTCCTTTTCCTCCAAATCATAATATGCCAAATAATTATTTAATGTTTACTTTCTCGTATACGTACGATTATATTTTGGCTAATTTATGCGATATTGAGGCAAACAGTTCCTTTTTTTTTTTAGAGAAAAACTTTTTTGTGACTTCCTTATATACTAAAAGAGCTAAAAGAGCATGTATGTAGAACATTACTTTCTCTAATACGTAGTAAGGTCAGAATTCACGTTTGTGGTTCCTTATCCTAAACCATTGGTATGGGATCTATAACTTCTTGCGTCGGGTCACATGAACCCGACTATACTGATTCAAGAAAATTGTGCTCTTTGTGTGGTTTTGGGGAGGAATTCATGTTTAATAGTATACATAATGAAGAAATAGTGTAACAATAAAAAAATCGACACTTTTTCAAAATAAAAAATACGCCTAATGTCTCTTTGTTCTTCTGCCTACACTGTAATTATTACAAAGCCTATCGCAAGTGTCTACTTCACCTTTCGAAAAATTCGAAAATGTTACAATTTGTGGCTTCTGCAGAAGGCCTGTACGTTCGTCAATTTTCTTGTCCTTGTGAATCCTCGTAGTGGAAATAACTACAGTTCGTGACATGGCTGGTACAGAAGTTCTCATTGTCACCAAAATTTGCAAAGTCAAAGATGCTTGCATTTACCTCTCATAGTTTACTTGGCAAGAATTACAGAGAAGTGTCCGGTTTGTTCTTATGTATAGTTACAAAAATGGCCAATTGTGCTTTCACCAATTGGAAGCAGTATTCACCGCTTACCTAGAGTCGCGAAGTCAGAATTATCTTTAAGGCGCCACGTGCACCATACGCCGTATAGAAATGCACAGAAACACTAACGCTGGCGTCGGGTCAGAATTGGCAATTCAGAGAAATATACTACGTCAACGCCATTTTTTATTGCCTTCGCGCCAAATTCACCCAACGCCAGCAACATCGCTGTGGTCCGTCTCAGAAATCCTGCTATTTTGAAAACAATTCATTGAGTTTCAGGTTAATGTACGTAAATAAAGCCCCTGGAACATTTTCAAAAATTGTCTCAAAAACTTCTCAATATTTTGTGATAAAAATTACCCCATAAGATAAAATATCCATAGAGACATTTTCTCGAAGCATTGCATGCTTAAATACCTTCATGAAATACTTGCTATTAAGTTTTATGGCCCCTTGGACATAATCATCCTTGTCTGTGTTGATGTGTGTTCCAAATATACACATAATTACCCAATTAATAGGGCTAGTGCTAGAAACCGTCTTCAAATTAGTATATTCTTTCAACGTAATGGTCGTTATGAAAAAATACTGACGGACCATAGAAGACAGTTAACCAGTGAATAGTGGTTGATGGCATGCACCATATAGAGATTACTCTCATTTGCTCCAGTCTAAGGCATCCACAGTCGAACCCCTACGAGCGAATCATGAAAGAATTCTTTCGATTGTTTCGGGTGTAAGACTTTCGCCAGCGTCATGAGTGTTACTCATTCCATTTATCAATAAAACACTCAACCAAATTTACCACGATTCAATTCACATGACAATTTGAAGCTCACTTCAAGCGGAAGCGAGATAATTTCGTGAAAAACATTCTTTCGGCGGAGATCGACCAGGTATACAATAATGATGAAGAAATATTGCCAAAGTTATGAAGATTCGCTGAAAAAAGATCTGCAAGATACATGGTGTACCATACGAATTCGTAGCCTGACAAAAAGTGTTATTAAGGGAACCCATAGTCTTGGATCCTTTAAGACGTCAATACTACAAATTATTTGGATTATCCGAGGGATCATACATCGTCCATCGACTACAGAACATTGAAAGTACAGACGCCCACTGAAGCTACACACGTTGCTGAAGATGAACAACTCGTGAGAAAATATAAATATTTCAATTTGAAACCTTACCAGGAAAACAGTTTCCATTATGTCAGAATTCTCACTAGCAGGATCATGAAAAAATGCGAACTCACGTAAAGTTCAAAGTATGAAAGAATGACTACTCAATGGTAGTGAATATTAGTGAAGAAATTTGAAAAAATTTAACTTATATTAATATTATTAAGAATAGTGCGTTTTTAAGTTTCAGTAGAACCCAAAGCCTTAATTTAAGGATGTGACGGGTTATGGATACTTCCGACATAATCTAAGTGTCGGAGCGAATCATAAGCATACACCGTCATGTAAATGCCCGCGGAGTGAGAAAAGAACAGGCTACGTTCCGACAGCCATGAAGGAGGGAGCGCGTCAGGTCCGTGAGTAATGAGCATGACCGAAGTTGACTTTATGAAATGAACTCTGCAGCTCAGGCTTAATCTTCCCCCCTGAGCAAGCACGGTTTTACAGCTTTGGATGGTGTGATGTCTGCGTGCTGTAGTGTGGAGGTGTCTCTCAAAAGTTGATGAGAATGCACGATTTTTCTCCATCGATGCGATAGCCCATATGCATACAGATGAAAGGAAGAACGCCTCAGTATTTAGACAGGAAGATCGCTGACACAGGTCTAAATTCAAGTAGCTATTTTGGTAGTGACCGTACTGTTGCAAAATGTACAGGAGGGATTGAAAATAAGGACTTTGAGGTTAGAGGAGATAGTTTGGAGTGAAGGGAGTCATTTCAATACATCTTGAAGCAGAGATAAATGCATTTATTACTTTATCCGGTGAATCCACCACTGTGTGTGGTGTCATTGGAATAGACGTGACTCTCGAGGAAAAGCCGAAGTTAGTATGAATCGAGCAACTTGGCGCAAATGCGTCATGTGGTGCGCTGCATTGTTAATGCTACTACTGATGTGTGTAGACTGATCTTTTAAGAATTCACAAAACAATGAAAAAGTAATTGACTTGAGTGCTTGCAAGTGAACAATGTTAGAAATATTAGTATTATGATTAGATTAATTTATTTTTCAGAATATAAATGTAAATTTAAACATCCTGCCCTTATTGATTATGAATTGTTTTTACTTTCCCGTATACATACGTGCATATGGAGTAATATATGTAGTATAAAGAAAGTTATGTAATGCTGGACGGAAAAAACGCTGATTTTCGGCAAAAGAAAATTCATTGCCGGGCCCTGATAACAAAAAAGTATATAAATCCAGTTGCTAAGTTAAGAGAAAAAATCCTCTGAGATCTGGTGTAGCCAGAATACCCGTAGTGTGAGTCCTTGATATCGAAAAATCAAAAGATGGCAAATCTTCCGTCTGACCATCTGAGAACACCACTACCGGATAAACCATACGTAGGATTTTTTCCAAATTGAAGAAAACCCTGTCCATCTGGTTTGAGTCGAAGCTTTGCGATTTTGAAAAACATTTTTTAGGATTTGGGGATACTTTACATGAAGCACGCCGAACATTTTCAAAATTTTCTGAAAAATGGCTACACTTTTTTTCTTTAAATTTCTTGAAAGAATACAGAACCATACATTTATAAAGGCTCCGTAGGATTGATTTCCACAGTTATCTCTGAACTTTCGAAAATTGAAAAAGTTTGACATTTTTTCGGCGTCTTCCTACAACTACAAAATTGAAGATAGAGATTTTTTCAATTAAAAAGTGTTCCCCATAAACAGTTCTTTCACTAAGAACCCGTACAGCTTTTTGAAAATTTTAGTAGTTTTCGCGCAATATTGCGTGCAACATGTGCAATTTTAAAAAATAACAAAATCAAGATTTTCTCAAAAACGGCATTTCTTTAAACTTAAGGGATAGTGCTAAATGCAATATAGAATATGGCATAGAGGCCTTATTACTCTATTCATTTGTTTTTCCACAAATTACAAAAATTTAATTTTTTGACTTGTCTCTCCTGTCGTTAAATAATGCTTTAAATAATGCCGTATGAAGTTTCTCGAAAACTCAACCGAACACTGTGAAAAGTAGCTCAACATTACGCATTTTCAGAGACGCTTAAACGCAGTTTTCTCAAAAACATCTCCAAATTTTTTCTTCAAACATATTGAGCGGGTAATGTTAATTGAACCGTTTATACGATGTAACGTTCATTTTGGGTTATCGCGTCTGAAGAATGCACGGGCTGTGTGCTGAGTGAAGGCCTAATCGTGGACATGAAACTAGGAGTGGCACTCCGAAAGCATGGTCGCCGAAGTGGCAGAGGGATGAACGTTCTGTGCGCTTAGTATGAAGGCCTAATCGTCGGTACTCACGGGCAATGGCGCTGTCGTCGAAGCAGTAAAGAGATATACGGGCTCTGCGCTGGGTGAGAAGGCCTTATCATGTGTACTCACAGCGAAGGCACGGTTGTGGATACAGTATAGGTATGTGCGGGCTGTGCTCTGAGTGTGAAGGCCTAGTCGTAGGTACTCACTGCGAAGGCGCGGTCGTCGAAGCGGTAGAAGCGCGGGCCCTTGAAGAAGAAGGTGCGGTTGTTGAGCACCGCCGCCGCGTCCACGCCGTCGCTGGGGATGCCGGCCCACTGCGCCAACACGTTGGGGTACATCGGCCCCACGGGCGGCGTCTGCGACGGGTCGAACTTCCAGAACAGGGAACCTGTGCAGAACGTTTCCTCCTTTTTAATATTTTTAGGGAAAGCAAAGAGTATAGTAAGTGCTGTGCGCGTGCCATATCGTTTTTGGAAGATTCAAAAATAGTAATCGAGTGAACTTGGTTAGTTGCTTAGTGTCCTTGCTGATGATAAATACTTCACAGAATTCCTATCGACATGAGAATCTATTGACATAATTATTGGGAGATGGTTCCCTCTAGGCTATTCCTGAAAGACTCTGTTTTAGGTCTGGAGGTTTTTAAGGTTTTAATGTAGTTACGGGCACATTGGCAAACGCTGTAAATTAGTATACCCTTTTTCCGGTATTTAAATTGATCTTATCTATTTGATGGCTTGATTAATCGGACTCTTTGTATCTAATTTTTCTTAATGTTTCTCTCCACTTGCCAATTTTAAACTGTGAGTCATCTATCTTAGGAAGCGGAATACATCTATCGCTATGTAGATGTGCAATAAACAACTATGTTCTATTACATAACTTCTTTGATTTTTACACAGCTTTCAATTATTTTCAATATTTAGAGAATTTGGGCATACAGTTGGACTTAAATTTATTCTTGGGATAGTCCAATTAAATGCCAATCGTACTTTGGAGATTCTCAGATTAATTAGCTCATCGCTTCAAGAGTCGGACAATAATCGACAATTTCCCAAACACTCATGACACTACCTATGATAACTTCATCATCCCGTATTAATTTTGTGTCATTATAAGTTACCATGACAAGGGGTTCCAAAACGCATTTATTGCAATTTTAGTATATTGAAGATCTTTATTAGAGTTTCTATAATTTTTGTTCTCTCGCATACTCCATAATTACGTAGTAAAGAAAATATTGTGATGCTGTGGCCAAATTATCGAGTTTTGCAGAGAAAAACTCATATCGTGAAGCCCTGGTAACGGCAAAGTCGTGAAATTTTGTTTCTATATATAGTTAATGACTTCCTCTAAGTAAATACTAAGTAAATACTTGTGTAGTGGGTTATTGATACCGAAAAATGGATTGTTGTCGAAACTTCGTCTGTCTGTCTAATGTCAATCGCCTAAACCGTTCAGACGATTTACTTCGAAATCGATATTTTTCAATCGATCTGAACGACGTCGAGGCTGTGCGACTTTGAAACATATTTTGATTTTTCGGGTTGTTTCCGTGAAGCGGCATCATATTTTCAATTTTTGGGCGACGGATATGCATACGTCAACATTTTCTCAAACAAATGTGCCAAGTTCCGCATGCAATCTTTCCTTCCTCTTCCTTGTCCTATCTTCATTCCTTACTTACACACACTTGGAATTCAATGCACTACATTACCACACGTGACGGGAGATAAGCCGACAGTTTAGAGCTTGTCTCGTCCAGGTCGTTGTCCGGCTGGTGGGAGATACCTGGTGTGAAAAAGCCCGCAAGTGGACGAGAAGGTCGGTGCGTGGTTTCACCACGCAGCGGGGGAACATCACACCACCGCCAGAGGAAAAGAACATGCATTACAGTTTCGTGCTCGGAATCAATCATTCGACGGATAGGTCGGCGCCGAATAACGACATCCAGCGGAAGATCACTGTCACCTCCAGAGATAAAAAAAACAACCGCCTGATTAATGTCCTTGACAATTGCCGCGCCGGGAATCACTAATCAAACAATCAATGCCGTTGGTACCGGTGGGGGCGGGGGCGGGGGCGGTTACCTTTGAAGAAGTAGAAGTGGCCGCGCGCGCCCCACTGCAGCAACGGCCCGTCGGGCGCTGCGGGTGGCGCGCGGCCAGTCGCGGCAGAGCGCGGCGCGGGAAGCCAGCGCTCCACAGGCGCCAGCGCTGGGTCGGGCGCGCGCCGCCGGGCGCCTGCGCGAAGCGCCACACGAGCGCGTCGCGGAAGAAGAGCGCGCGGCGGCCGCGGCGTCTCGCGTGGCGGCGTGCACGGCGCGCGGCAGCCCGGGCCACAGGCGCGCACGGGCGAGCGGCCACCCGCGCGCCACGCCCCCGCGGCGACACGGCGCCACGCCCACGCGCGCGCGAGCGCAGCACCAGCGCGCCGTCCCGGCCGTCGCCAGCACCGCGTCGCGCGCCCCCGCGCCCGGGCCCTGCGCGCCGCACGCCGCGGGCGCCGGCGGCGCTGCTGAGGGCCGGCGGGCGGCGGCGCGGGCGCTCCCGCGGGCACGCCGGCCGCCGGCGCTCGAGGCGGCCGCGGGGGCGGCGGTGCTGCGGGGAGGCGGTGGTGTGTGGGCGGTTGTGGTTGTGGGGGGGCGCGGCCCGTGCGTCGGCGGCGGCGCGTCGCGGCCCCCGGGGCACCCAGCAGCCAGAGGGGCCGTCGAGCGCGGGAAGGGCGGGTGTCGCGCCTCCCAGCCGCAACACACAGAGTACTCCATCAAAGGCGGTGCGCGGCGCAGAGCAGGGTCCATGCACAATCACACAGTGTTCTGTAGGCCATCAACCAAAAGGCAAAACAACTTCAGATGGACAATGCCTGCGGTTCGGGGTGGTAACGGACTAGCGAATCGACTCCATCTAGCGTCTTTGTCCTTAAGTTCGCGGATTCAAATCGAAGTCTTAGAGGCGAAAAATCCTTTCGTGCGCTTCCTGTCAGGAACGCTAAGTAACGTCGGATGATCCATGTTATAAACATACTGCAATGATTCTCACCTAAAACAAACCTCTTAGCTGAATGCAAATGCTTGTTTCGTCGTCCAAAAATCGTGGTTACACACAGCGAAAGGCGCGGTCGTCAGAGGCGGTAGAAGGATGCACGGGCTGTGTGCTGTATGAAGGCCTAATCGTGGACATGGAACTAGGAGTGTTCTCACATTGAAAAAAATGTGGCAGAGCGATGTATGGGCTGTGTTCTGAGGAAGCCTAATCCAGGGTGTGGGAGGAGTGGTACTCACGGCGAACTCGCAGTCGTCGATGCGGTTTAGAACGATGTGCAAGGTAGTGCGCTGATTGTGAAGGCGTACACGTGGGTGTGGAGTAGGAGTCTACTTACGGCGAATATGGTTGTCGATGCGGTAGAGGAGATGTACGGGTTGTGCGCCGAGTGAGAAGGCCTTATCCTGTGTACTCACAGCGAAGGCTGTTTCGAAGCCGCTAGAAAGATATACGGGCTCTGCGCTGGGTGAGAAGGCCTTATCGTGTGTACTCACAGCGAAGGCGCGGTTGTGGATACGATACCAGGTATGTGCAGGCCGTTTCGCTGAATGTGAAGGTCTAGTCGTAGGTACTCACTGCGAAGGCGCGGTCGTCGAAGCGGTAGAAGCGCGGGCCCTTGAAGAAGAAGGTTGCGGTTGTATAGACACCGCCGCCCGTCCACGCCGTCGCTGGGATGCCGGCCCACTGCGCCAACACGTTGGGGTACATCGGTCCCACGGGCGGCTCTGCGACGGGTCGAACTTCCAGAACAGGGAACCTGTGCACCATAATCTTGCAATGATCTCCTATTATTATTATTATTATTATTATTATTGATTATTATTATTATTATTATTATTATTATTTATTATTATTTATTATTATTAATCATTATCTTGACCGTTTCACGTTACTTTTTGGTTATCAGTGAATTCTTCCTATTCACAAAATCATATCTTGCTGTTTTACTGGTTAAATCCGTTATACAAATTAACTTCTCTCTCTTTCTCATGATATAATGAAAACTCTTTGTCTCTACTTCAAAGTAATTTGAATGGCTTCTGTAGCAACGCTTTCTAGCCACCGAGTAGTCCAGGCAAGATGATCAACAAACAGAGGCGGTTCTCCTGACTCGGGCGTAGATATTTATTTTGCATGGAAATAAAAGTTGAACTGTGTATATACTAGAGTACGTAATTTGAATATTCGTGAAAAGACTGGGTTTTTTTGGTAAAATGTATTATGTAATGTAGTGTTATAGGAGAGGATTTTATTTTGTTGTTCTGAGCAGGCGCGGGTCGCTGTGGAGCCTCTGGTAGTTACTGCAGGTGCTCCATGGCGTCTGAGTGGCACTAAAGCCAGTACGAGTACCTTTGAAGAAGAAGACCTTCCCTCCGGGCCAGGCGAGCGCGGCGTCGGGTGGTCGGGCGCGCCGGGGTAGGGCGAGGTGCCGAGCGCGCGCGGGAAGCCGGGCAGCGGGCCGCCAGGGGCGCGGGCGGGGGCGGCGGGCGGGGCGGGGCGAAGCGCCAAACGCGGCGCCCTCCGACGAGCACGGCGGCGCCGTCGGGCGCGAGGAAGGCCGCGTGCAGCGCGCTGCGCGGGCGGAGGCCCGGCCAGATGGCGGCGGCGGGCGCGGACCACGCCCCCTCGTCGGCCCCGGCGCCGCCCACGCGCCACACCCAGCGCGCCCCGAACGAAGAGCGCGGCGCCGCCGCCGCCCGGCGCGGGCAGCACGGCGTCGGCGGCAGCGGCGATGCGCACAGCGCGGGCGGCGCGGCGGCGAGGGGCGGCGCGGGCGTACTCGGGCGGCGGGGCGGCGGCGGCGGGCGGCCCGCGCTCAAGCACCAGCGAGCGCGACGGCGGCGGCGGCGGACGCGCGCGCGCCCCGTCCGCCCCCGCCGCGCACCCGAACAGCCAGCGCGCGTTGTCGCGCGGGAAGGGCGGCTCCGCGACCTCCACCTGCCGCGCGCACCAACCAGTTCAAATACACGACTTCTTTCATAGAGAAAAGTACAAGATGTCTCAGAATAAATATTACTAACTCCTCGGCCATCTAGAGGGGTCAAAAGTTATCACTTTGTCAGTGAACATTTTGTGACAAATTTCATATTAAGGAATGTCACAATTGACAGTTCCCTTTGACTTAGGCAACCCTGTAAGCCCAGGTGTACTGCAGGTATTGCATAAATATTTTCCTGCTTCTGTAACGAACGACTGTGCGAACCGATGACCTGACTGACCTGTGCTCAAGAGGTTCTGTAATAATCGGGGTGGAAACGTCACAAGAGTAATTCTGTGATGTGAAATTTCTCACTTTATGTTTATTGGCAAAAATTGCTCATATTCGATGCCTATACATATCCTAGAAGTTCAGAACATATATTCTGAGTCACTAGCATACATAATTAAAAAAAATATGGTAATTTTAATTATTTCGTAAAAATAAAATCCTAATGAACGTCCGTAATTCTGTTATCGTACTTTCCGAATAATCACGTTGACCTAACTGTTGCCGCGCTCAAGTGTCTGAATGCCCCCAAAATTTTCGTATACACTGGCACGTTGATACGTACGTTATATACAAAACTTCAGTATAAAAAATATTAAAATGCAATATCCTATCATCATGTACTCGAATTGTTTTGTATTAAAAAGTAATTAATGGCCATGAAGAAACTTGAGCAATTCAATACCTTTGAAAACTTTTAATAGGTCTGTACACAAAGCGTTTCGGGGTTATTGGCAACCTACGCTTCAGTAATTTCGGAACAGAATGTAACATTTACATCAATTACCTATAAAATATTAACACGTTTTAATGGAAACTAATGTATGGAGAAATGTTTGTCGATAATTATTGTTACAGAAAAACATTTTTCAAGATGTCACAAGACATGAAAAGAAAAACCTGAACCATAGGATGTAAATCCTTAGTAGAAGTTCCCGACAATTCTCCCTAAATATGTTCTGAGACAATCAGGCAAGAATTATTTTACAAGGCATAGAAAGAAAAGCCTGATCCATGGGATGTAGATCCAGAGGAGAATTTCCCGACAATTCTCCCTCAATATTTTCACACACAATCAGGCAAGAATTATTTTACATGGCCTAAAAGGAAAAGGCTGGACCGAAGGACGTGGTTGCCGACTAAGGCTTGCCTGGCAAAGGCGCTCGTCGAGGCGGACGTGCTGGCGGCCGAAGAGGAGGTGCAGGCGCCCGTCCAGCACCAGCGCAGCGTCCACCCGCGGCGGCGCCTCGGCGCCCCAGCACGACAGGTTGCGCGGCGGCCCCACGGGCGGCGAGCGCAGCGGCCACACCTCCCAGAACTGCGAGCCTGCGCACCGCACACCACACACCCCACGGTCTCTTGGGCCCCGCCCTCTCCGCCGCACGCCCACCACTCAAACACACTCGACAGACTGCACATGATGACAAAAAGACACTGCGCACGCCTCATCATATTGGTCCTCACACACCACTCACGGATCCCCTTAAGACGACACGTGTCAACGGGGAAACACCGCGCACACTACACACTGATCCTCACACACCACACAAGGAACCTCACAAGACTTCACATGTCAGAAGTGCAACTCTGCATATACCACACCATACTACTGTTTACACGCCACTCAAAGACCCACTTTAGATTTCACCACTCAGAAAAGCGATTCCGCGCACTTCTCACCACACTGCTCTCACACACCACTCAAATATTTTCTTAAGACTACTACAAATGTAAGGAGAGGGACACCACGCTTCATCTACCTCATCACTCAAAGACCACATTAAGACTACACATGCCAGTAGGGAGGCCTTCCACACACCACACCACAACGCTCTTTACGCACTACATAAAGACATTCTTAAGACTACGCGTGACAGTAGAGCGACATTACTCACAACACAATGCTCCACACTCACCACTCAAACACAATCTAAATACTACGCATGCCAGTAGAGATATTTTCCTCCCACCACACCGTTCCTTACACACCACGTGAAGACCCTGTTAAGACTACGCAACATAGACCCTGCGCACGCCTCAACATATTGGTGCTCACACGCCACTCAAGGATCCCTTTAATACTACACATGCCAGTGGAGAAACACTGCGAACGGCGCAACGTACAGCTCCTCACACACCATTCAAACACAACCTTCAGGCTAGACGTATCACTACAGAGACCGCACATCACACCGTTACTCACACATCACTCAAAAACCTTCTCAAGACAACACAAAGCGGAAGAGAGACCTTCCACACGCCACAACACAAAACTCCTTACAAATCACCCAAAGACCATTTTATTACTTCATTGACTACACAAGTCAGTAGAGGACCCCTGCGCATGCTACACCATACTGCTATTCTCACAGTACTCAAAGACCCTTTTAAGACTACCCAAGGCAGAAGAGGGATCTACTGAACGCCCCATCACAAAGCTCCTTACACAGCACACAAAGACCCTGTTAAGACTGCACAAGACAAGAAAACCCAGCGAATTCCACACCACACTGCCGTTTTCACAACACTCAAACACACTCTTAATAATACACGTACTAGTAGAGACACTTTAAGCAAGCCACGCCGCTCCTTACCCACCATTGTAACTCCCTCTTAAGACTTCAGCACTCTGTACAGCGACGACGCGCCCGCTGCAGAAACATCAGTCATCATTCACACATCACTCAAAGACCTTAAGAGTGCATATGCCAGTAGACCAACTGTGCGCATGCCATACCACCCTTCTTCTCACACCCCCGACATGACCCTCTCCAGACTATGCGTGCCAGTAGAGAGACGGCACACTACACTGCTCCGTAAATTCTGGGCTCTCCGGGAGACGCCGCGTCGTTGGCTGAGAGGCCGGCGTTTTGCCCGACAAGTCGCAGGCTTCCTTTATTTGGCTAGTAAGGAAGTCTGCGACATGTCAGGCGAAACGTCGGCCTCTCAGCCAACGACGCGGCGACTCCCGGATAGCCAAGAAGTAATGGACTCGAGCCGCGGAAGCTTACGTGTACACTGCTCCGTTTTGGAAAAACTGTCTACAAGAACACAAAATATGCAAAATGTATATGCTACAAAATACAATATAAATATTTCGTGCATACACCACTAAAAATATGCCAACACCGAGATGCAGAAAATTGTTGAATTGAATTAATGCATTATTTTACTTGGCGAGACTCACGCCATGAGGCCTGCTTTTCCGTCTGACCACGCAAATTTTGCTACGCTCCTTTCACCCACAAGCAGAGAAAGGAGGTATTTCTTGGGCGAGAAACAGGCGATTTGAATCAGAGGCGTCATATAGGCTTGAGAATCTTTTACATGCAAGCAAATCTACTAACATGGGACAGCCAGCTTTACTTCCCCTCCGAAGGAAGGCGTACGAAGGCCTTTTTCGCCCTTAAAAATCCACGGCTTCGAACCCGCCAACTCGGGCACAACAGTCCGATACGCTAACCGTTACACCATCGCCGCGCGCAGTTGTTAGAAGGGTGCGAGGGGCACTCACCGCTGAAGAAGAGCAGGCGGGCGGCGCGCGGCAGGAAGGCGGCGGCGTCGACGCGCGGCGGGAGGCCGGGGAAGGAGGCCTGCAGCGCGCGCGGGTAGGTGCGCTCGGCGTCGGGCCGGCCGTCGGGCCCCAGGCGCCAGAAGCGCGCCCTGGCAGGAGACGTGCGGCCGTCCGCGCAGGGCGACGCCGCGTCCACGGCCCGCGCGCCACCGCGGGCCAGCGCTCCGCACGCGCCCGCGGCCCGCCCCGCCCCCGCGCCGCCCCGAGCCGCCCACGGCGAAGAACACGTCACCTGCGGACCACAAACACAGTCAGCGCACTGGTTGCTCACGGTTAGCGATGGCTAGGTTCATCAAAACATCAGTACATCGATATTTCCATACATCACCGAAAGGTTTTCGATGTCGATGAAAATCACCGATGTTTAAAATTTGATAAAACATATTTTGCCTTCCTGATTCTATTTTTAATTACAGTACTTAAATTAAATACCAATATATTTTATTGGCGGGTCACAAACAGTATGTTAATAATAATATTTATCCAATGTAAAGAATGAAATAAAAAATGAAGAACATGGCGTTTTCTAATATTCCATTTATTCACTTTTATTCATAAATCATCAAAATAATACGTCCTGTATATAAGACACATAATATGTAAATAGGTTTAAGCTTAAAGTATATTCTGTCTTAAAGCACTCTGTCACCTTCATTTTCTATTCAATATTCTTTACAGACAAGGTGCAAAATTCACTTTAACGAAATTACCACATACAAAATTATCGACAAAATATAACAAACTTTGTTTAAAAAATATCCATGTTTCTGTCAAAATATTTCGATTAAAAAAAACTAACATGGAAAACAAAACATCGATGTTAATATGTTCAGAGGATGGCCTTACTTTCTCTCAACTTGATTTTACTCCGAATTTAATTATTTATTTGTCTAGCTCGATTGTATTGTAATGATTGCGCGTTACTATATGAACACTCTCAAGGCTGCATCTTCTTTGTTCTTGTGGGCTAAAAGTTGATCGTTCATACGAAACTATCGCTGGTGAATACTTTTGTTTATGATAGGAATTATTTGATCTGATGGTTACTATTCTTTAAATGATAAAAATTTCATCAATGAATTAACACTACAGCGACAAGAAGTGTCGGCTGCCAATCATTCTTTTATTTCTGTATTTTCTTTCTTTTCTAATCCAATATTAACAAATTTAATCTAATTTTACTATTTCCCCTTCCCTAAGATGGCTATCAACATTTTATTGGAATTAATTGTCAAAACTTGATTCATTTAAATTAAATACTATTGTTATTCTTAGCCTTGAACATTGAATAATTTTTCAAAGTCTTTCCAAAAATTCTTAAGTGCTATACTTTCCTGTTCGTAAACGAACTGGTGGTGGTGTGATGAGGAGAATTTTATTCCCGATCATCCACTTATGTTTCCAAAACAATGTTCTTTGTTCATCCATCCACCATTTCTTGCGACATTTCACACTTATGTTTTTATCACACCATATTTTATGTCCCCGTTTTACTCGACTTAACTTGTTGACATAAGTCCAAACATCCCGCGACCTAGTATTAGGGTCTACTTCAATATGTTCTGAAACTTTCACAAACTTTTAAAAGTTTTTGAAAAAATAATAAGGAAAAGTTACTCTGAGAATTTCAAACTACCGCGTCACAACGTTGCCATAGTTGTACGACTATCATCGGCCAAAGGAGCGCGAGAAATCCGAAATTGCAATTATGAAGATTTGCAAAAATTGCGCGAAACTCTTCATACTTTCTAGATTTATTTTGGAGAACAAATTGCTTTATTAAAAAAGGCTATCATCACTATTGAAGTTTTGCAATGTTAATTGTTTGCAATCTTCAAAAATACCGAGAGATCATAGAAAATAAGCCATTTGCCATTTTTTATAAGCGTACTTTATTTGAGAAAAACAATTAAAAAATCTCGAATGGTTTTTGAGAAAATATTTTTTTAATTGCATTTACATCCAGCAAAAAGTACGCGGAAACTACTGTTTTCCTAAAGATGTGTACTTCATTTTTTTTTCTTTAAATTTTTTGGAAACATTTTATTAACTAAGGAGACATGTCTATCATCATTATTGTAATTTTGCAATGTTATTGTTTTGCAGTTTTTGAAAACAGAGAGTTCACAGGAAATGGGATCTGCACTATTTTCATAAACGTCCTTTTAAAGTGTCATTTGCTCCATATGAGGAAAAATATTGAAAACATGGAGAAGTTTTAGAGAAAATAGTAGTTTAAAAATTGCCTTAATTTTTTGTAGAATTACGCGAAAACAACTTATTTTTTCGAAATAATTAACTAAGCATTATTTCAAGATCAGCCTTTGAACAATAGATTTCTTTGAAGAAAAGATATACCTTTAGTATGGTAGTGTAGGAAGACGCATACAAAAGTTTAATTTTTAATGTGCTATATGAAACTTACAATTTTCGAATTTAGAATGTTAAACAAAATTGCGACCATCTCCATTTTTGAAGTGTTTTCGCTCTATCCGAAGAATAAGTTAATATAAAAACTGGAGTGACTTTTAAAAAATGTTGAAAAGGTTCTCAAACAGTTTCGTATAAATCATTCCTGAAAGTCAGAATATTGGGTTCAAATTTTCCGTTTCTATCAGATCGGTTCTTTTCTGGTAGGACTCCATATGAGTTTTTTGTCAAAAAATCTCAATTTTCCCCATAGTATTACTGTACTTCCATACCACGCTCGCATACCACGTAAGTATGCGAGAAAGTAAAAATACATAAAATT